TATTGATAAAATATGTTATCATTTGTATTTGTCTATTTTTCTAACTTAAATGTTTTTGTAAATATTACATGTTTCATTCACAACTTGAAATCATTTTTTTTACATTTTGCAAACTATTTCTTTTCCTGTATTTTAATTTTTTTAATTTAAAATTTGAACATTTTTAATTTTTGTACACTTGATAAGAAAAAAGTATTTTAAAGATATTTATAAACCTGTTGACAACTCCAGAAAAATCAATGTGGGATCTCAGTAACTTTTAAAAATACGAAGATTTTACGAACCAGTGTGTAGTAGGTGGCTGCAACAGTCTCGTTATTGGCCTGCAGTTCCTTAGAACGCTGCAGTAACTTCAGTTATTCATGAGGTGGTGCAACTTATCGATTATATTTAGTTATTCAAGTACAAATTCTTGACTCACATTTTGAATTTTTCTTGTTCCTCAAAACTTAGAATATTTTCGCTTATCGTCGGTAGCAAAAGAAAGCAGTTTCACTGAAGCTTCATTTAGCGACTAAGGAGTAAATGTACTTTTGAAGTTCTAGTTATGGGCTTTGAATTTTGATACATAGACTTTAAATAATAACTGTGTGTATCTAAAGAGCAAAAAATAAACGAAATATTAGTACTTCTTTCTACCCAATCATATAGTTTCTTCAGCGTTGTAATTGGATCTTGAGCTGGTTGTAGACTGGTTCGAGTGGCAATCTTGTGTACAGTTCCTCCAATGCCAACGCATGTTTTTGTACCGTGTGACGTCGGAAACAGCCTTTCGGCGCAGATTCCGAAATCATGGACGAAAATATTTTAATTTTTTAAAATTTTTGTTTTTTGCACTTGAAATATGAGAGGAGAAATTATTCTCCAACATGAATCACCAATTCGCAAATCTATTGACACTTCTAAATCAAGTTTCTCCATATAAAAGTAAATCACTGTTTACGCGTCTTAAAGGTATTCTCTGACAATCATGATTAGATTGAAACATCTGTCGTATCTTTCACGGAGATCGTCACTCAAATGTTGCACAGAGTACACATGATTAACAGTACAAATTTGAGCACTTTTCACTTTACAAAATGCGAATTGCAACTGATGTTCAGAAAATTGTACTGATTCCCCTTGACAAGTGGTCTGTTGCATTTCACGAGCAAGGTCGGGAAAGAGGGCGCCCCGTTCCTCGGAAGCAAGGAACTTAGCAATAAAATTCGTTTCGCTGACACCCAAGGGTGGCTCCTTGGTGTAGGCAAGGTAAGCACTGCCTACCCCGATGGATATGTACCAGGTTAATACATTTCATAACAATGCAAATTAAATTACTCTTACACTTTTATGTGGTGTAATTATTACTCATCTGAAAATGTGTAATGAGTAATCATCATTCAGGGCCGAGCATATTTCCATTTCAAGCGTTATCTAACAGCCCGTGCGTCTTGGTGCGATGTCTCGCTTCTTCCCGCAGAGGCATGCACCCGCTCACGCCTCTCAGGGCAGGCAGTCTCGTGCGCTGCGTCGCTCCGCACCGCATTCTAACAATAGTTAGCGTGGAACGGTGGAATGATGTGTCCATACGTGACGCATGCGCGTTGTGTGTAGGCCAGCGAATTCGTTTGCTGCCTACCCGCATGGAAGATTCAGATTTCCACTCGCGTGCAAGGCCCCTAGCGCGTGCATTTACTGTTTCGTTGACGTGTAAACAAGTGGAAAAAGTTATTATTATAATTATTATTATTATTATTATTATTATTATTATTATTATTTAGGAAGTGTTTTTTTATTTTAAACTAATATGCTGCCGATTATTACTGTTACTTGATTTTTTGTATTCAAATCTGATTTTACGTTAGTATTATGACATGCGTGAATGAACTACTACGTATACCATTTTATCATCTTCACGGTGTAGAGTAGAAATTTTGGACAATGGTCGACCTATTCCTATGTTGACTTCATCGTGCTCAATCTGTATGTCGTGTTGGCGAGCCAAATGGAGAAAATTCAGTTCTTCGTGGCATGATTCACACAAATGGCTATACTTTGATTTATTTATAGCGTCCTTTGACGGTTAATCAACTGTTACAGTGCCATCCAATCGAGAGCTTACTGAACTACAGTGAAGTCACTATGGTGACGTTCAACCTCCCGATTGGATGACACGGTAACAGTAGACCCCATGTTAAAATGGATTACCGGTAGTGAAGTTAAAGCTAAGCTTCATTGTTGGCCATGTCTTTAATTGTTATTAAAGGCAAGTACTTGGAATAGAGATGGATATTTTGACATGAAAAAAATTATCAAGCTATACAAGAACATGAAATGTGAAAAGATCACGTATGTAATTCAGTTATTCTTATACGCCTGGAAAAAAATATGAAACAGATTTCTGGATTATTGTCAGAGCAACACTAACTACCCACACTTTCTTAGAATGTGATTATTTTGAGGTCACATATGTGTGTGCTTCATGAAAATCATGCTTTGGAATGTAATGATTTAAGTGAAACAATAAAAAAAAATTGAATGAAATTACCAAAAATATGGATTGAGGTGGAGCATGGCCCACATGCCCTGAACATTTGTTCAAGAGCTGCCATCGCTGGTGTACTCATGCTAATCTTGTTCAGTATTTTCCTCGTCTTAAATCTTTCTATTGGTAAAATATTTATCTGAAGACTTTTTTTATGGCTTTGTTTAAAGCCATTTTTCTTCATTTCTGGAGAATCTCGAGCATTATCCCCCATCCAAGAAGTATCCCCCTTTTACTATTCTTCATTGAAAAATAAATTATTGTAGATAATTTTCTAATTGAACTATAGGAAGAAGATAATTTTATAATATCTATTATTTAAAGTATCATTTTTTTATAGCTCAGCTCATACAACAATATGACAGTTTATTATTGTGGGTTGTTTTATTATAAGTTCAGTTTTAGCTCCTGGGGAAGGGCAGTTGCCCTACCCCTGCCTCTCGCTATACCCATTATAACAATAAAGATGGAATATTCTTTGTTAATATAAAAAATTTTAATGCTTTCGTAAATTAAGATCCATCAATAAAATATTAATTTTCTAGTTTTTTTTTTGCGGGGGGGTGGGGAGATTGCTTATATCAGTTAGTATTCAAGAACTATCTGAATCTTAAATCTTCTTAGAAATATTTCTGAAAGTAGATATTTTACGTCAATGTAATCTCATGAACATAAAGAACATATACCATGGGTGAAAAACCTTTGTATGGTTTAGCACCAGTGTTGTTCAGTCTTACTGATTGACGTTTTGGAGAAAATACTATCAAAATTTGAAAATATTGAAAGAAAATTTGAAAATATTATTTCATCGTGTTCATCAGACAAGTTTAATTTGTCAATTGTTCGTTTTATTACATCATTTTTATATTTTAAGAAATTCCGAGCCACTGTAGCCTTCAGTGCAGGAATGTTGAAGCTCTCCGTGTATGTATTGTGACATTACTTGCATCTGATGTTGACACATTGTTTGCTTTTAAACACCCTCAACTGCTAAGTTAGAATCGTATCGGCCACATATGTCTAGAAATAAACAGTGAATTAATAGTTGCCAGTGACGACGCATGGTTTTGTACTCGTATTTCGGGGAGGCTAGCAAAATAATTTTACCACCACATTTCTTCCATTTTGATTGGACCATGAATATTGAAATGATCAGCTTCTATTAACTGAGATTCGTTTTGGAATAAATCGGTCAAATCTTAAAATTCCACGACTCTCACTATCTATTCATTTTGAGAAACTGAACATTCAACAAATTAGATAGTATGTGAATGTAGTTTTTTTCTTCGTATTTTTCCCGTCCTCGCTCGAACAAGTTTTCCCGATTTATGACTGAGAAATGTAGTGTTCAAAAGTATGATACATTAAACTCGTGCGTCCACGTTACTTTCTTAAAGTGCTTAAAAAATCCCCGTTTCCTTCTTCCCTTCGCACAACTGTTAAAAATACAGCATAGAGCTAATGCACCACTTTGTGTTCCCGAATGCTAGGCATACACCTGCGGGACTACTGGGATTGCAGATTGCGGCGTCACAAGGGATTAGCCGCATAATTAACAAGTGGGTGCTCACAGACGCAGACAGAAACGGTCTTAAGGCCCATTCACAATGCAAGCGTAAACATAAGCATAGCGCACAGACATTAAACATTAACATTAGTGATTGACTGAAGTATTCACAATGCCTAACATATATGTAAGCAAAATAAAGAGTTTCTATTGGCTGTCAGAATTCAGATTTACTATTGGTTGGATGTGAGAATCGATTTCGAGGTATAGACCGTGTCCCTGGCTCTTTTAGCGTTAGTTTTTCTATCGACTTCGCTCCAATTTCGATTCTCGATTTTGAATTATCGTTCTGTGATTGGTTCATTTCGTATGTCTTACTCAAGCATAAGCACAGAAGCTTGAAGCTTGCAAGCTTTAAAGTTAACGTCTTACGTGTTACGCTTATGCGAACGCATTGAGAAACTGCTTATGGACGTAGTTGTAACTTTTATGTAACGTCATGCTTATGTTTATGTTTGCATTGTGAATGGGCCTGCACAGTAGTTGCCTTCACGGAACTTTACAATACGTCTTTTACATCCTTCTCAAAAAACAATATCTTTAAGAACAATCTTGTGAAAAAGAAACAGAGTGCAGAACAGTAAGGAAGTTTGGTGTGCAATTTTGGTAGATTATAGGAGAGGCTTTGCCTACTCAGAAAAGTCGCCTTTGCTTTAATTAGATTTTTTATTTCAGCATTTAAGAAATTTCCCGTTAAATGTTGTGTACTAATTATTGTTCTTGTTTCAGTTGCCGATCGAAAGCGAATGTGAATTTCGAGAAGCTTTAAAGGTGAGTTTTAATGTTCACATGTTAGCTAAGATACTATTTTCATGATTCAGAGTATTCTTACAACTTCGAAATGGTTCTCGATTTTGGAATGCAGTTTTTGCCCCACAATATTAAATCATGGGGGAAATAATATATCGTTCAAATATAGTTTGTAATATTTTATTGTGGGCTAAATTAAGTAATCATTTATTATTGAAATGGAATTTTAGTTCTCTAAAATATACTATATGGTTTGTACATTCTCATACCTACTCGTAAGAGGTGGTTTATGTAATGTTGCCGGGAAAAGTGGCGATTTTTCAACAGAAGAATTCGTTTCGTAGGTCCCTGAAACCGAAAAAGTGGATAATTCTTGTTCCTGTAGTGATGTACGCCATCTAATATGTTGTGTTGTTAGAATCCACGTTCTGTTGGTCCTTGAATCCTAAAAATTGGTTTTCGGCAAAACGTCCGCCAGTCTCTGCGGACAACACGAGCACCTAAATCGTTCGTAGAATTGGCTTCAAAATTGATTTTACCGGTCGATCTGGTATAAATGTTTATAGAACGTTTGTTTTCTTTTGGATATTGAAGTACAGGGCAAGAAACGTCCATGTGTTTGCCGGATTTTTGAGGAGCGTAGTGTTTCAAGTTCACTGAGAACAGCGTAAATTATCATCATATTGTCACACTGGGTATCTTCATATGATGCCCAGTGTGACAATATGTTTAAAAAACGCGTGCGACATGGGGTCAAATACCCTGCAGCAACCTGCTTCCTTTGCTCGCGAAGTTTCGGTAAAATAAGGACGCTAAACGTGTGAAAGCTAAGACTTGTTTCCTTAACAAAAGATATAGCTTCTGTAGACTGGGCGACTTTATTTGGTTATTACAAATTTGAGAGAGCATTACCATTATTTATCTTGCACATTCACAATTGGAGTATTCGTTTCATTTGTGGTAAAATTTAAGTCGTCATCAATGTCTGAATCATGTCATCTGGCAAATGCCCTGCGTACTGGCAGTCACTATCAGAGTGCTTTGTCCGCCAGATGTGCCGTAGGAAAAACACACTAAGGATGGGGGCCTTTTGAAAACCTCGTTTTGAAAAGCTCAAGGTTTCCAGCATGCCGTTTGTAGAGAAACTCTTGACAATTAACCTAAGTATGCATTGTTACGGAGAACAGATACTCCACAAAGACCTTGGGACAATGAAATGTGTACCTCTTGACCGCTCGCTGGGTTATTCGGAGTAGGTTAAGGGATTAGCGGGAGGTGAGCACAGCATAGCGACCAGGTTCGTTAACGTAGCAGACATTGATATTTTGCACTGTTCCGTACTTTTCACACAATGAAATCTAATTCATAATCTACTGCAGTACATTTTCTTCGTTCATGTATGTGTACTCAATTACTTCAATGATCCAATCACTGCTGTAATTCTTCTAGAAAAAAAATACTTGCTCGTATCTAATCATTTTTACTTCAGTTCATTGCTGAACAGGAGTAATGCGAGTAATCAACAAGCGATATCCCGCCTGGTGACAAATAACACGAATCAACATGAATTTGTGCATTGATTCTCCCCAAGTGTGCGTTCCTATTGCCCTAAAACCAAGAAAATTTATTGGTTTAATTGTCCTGATTTGTTTTTGGTATTTACATTTTTTATCTAAAGTACGTTCATTCGTCTCTCCGTCCGTCCGTCCGTCCGTCCGTCCGTCCGTCAGTCTATCAACAATAGCGGCTAAACCCTTAACAGATTTTCTCCAAAAGTATTTCCGAATCGATCCGGCTGATGTCGCGACCCCTTGAATTTGAAACCGATATTTCTGATGTCGCGACCCCTTGAATTTGAAACAGATATTTTAATTTTTTTTTGGGGGGGGGGGGTACTTTACATGATGCCCTTGCGGAATTTTCAATTTTTTTTCAAAAACATGTCTCCGTGGTTTTTGATTAAATTTTTTGTATTGTGTGAAGGACTGTTAAGAGAATGGTGCAGGTCTCATGTCGTTTAAAAACTCTAGTTTTTGAAAATTGCAGAAGTTCAAATATTTTTCGGAGTCTTCTGACAACTAAAATATTTGTGATGGTGACTTTTCCCTGAATGAAATCTGTTCCTAAAAGAAAGATTTGAAAATAAGTTCATGTGGAATTTTTCGAAAATTTGAGTACTTGTCGCGTAAGTTTGCGTTCGGAACGTCGTATCATCCACAGTTTTGGCACAAATCTCATTTATTGCTAATGTTTATATCACATAATGAAGTAGTACATATTTATGACACATAATGTGGAAGTGGAGTATAAGTTGAAAACAACATATTGAAAAGTGCACACCTTGAACAGATGCGTACTGAGAATGTGATACAAAAATTCCTTTAATTCCGTGCTTTCTTAGTAGTCACATCGTGACCTCTACCGTTTTTCTTATGCGTCATTTCAGTGAAGTTCAGTCAGTTTCATCATGGTGAAGAATCTAGCAATAGTCACCCGTCATCCGAACATCACAAGTTCCCTTGTGTCGTCTTTTCATGTCTATGATGTGTTGAGGGAATCTTTCAACCTGTTCCTCGCAGCACCCAGGTTTGGAGGGAAAATGTCAAGATGCAAATGTGAATAATATAACTTCAAGCTCAATGAGTATTATAGCATTTTGAATTACGTAATCATGTTCTCAATTTATGTCCATACAACTGTCTCATGTAAGTTTTAACCACACACTTAACGACTAACCACGCCTCTCCCTTCACGGAATTCATTAAATTACGGAAATCTTCAATCTACCAGTAGTTCGCGAATATTGGTAGCAGTGAGTACGCCCTCTTTCAACTTAGCATCTGACAGGTTGGGGAACTTGTCATAATTATTTTAAACTATTGTCACACTTAGTTAATGATGACAGGCCGCTTCTTTATGAGCAGTTTCATGTACAGAGGTGGCAAGAGTATTCTCTCTTTCCATAAGAGGGTAACACTTGATACTTCTGTTCCGTGGAACCAATTCTAAATTTCGAGGCCACCTTCCTTCCCAATGCACGAGCCCGAGTGTCCTATTCACTGATTCCCAACTCTTTCAAATCACCACATACCATCCAATTGTGTTCCTAATAATGAATGGTACTATGAAGGACCTTCATGTTGTCCGCCATGTTTCCTTCTGGTACACGGAATGACAGATCGGTATTGAAGCATACATTTTACCATTGTGCTTCAGAACTGACTTCGTTTCTTTCTATATGAGTCAATAAAGTCTCTAATCACCAGACGCGTACTGAATGAACTGACCTATCAAACCGTGTTAATCAATGCACGGTTCTGGCAAGTCCTTTTTAGCAAACTTTTGCGTAAATATAAAGTCCTTTTTACTGTAAAGTGTAACGGACATACCCGTATAAGTTCTAACAAATGTCTTTCTTGCTGTCTCGATCATATGAGTTCTGCTTTATCCTTTTGTCAGTTCCATAACACGGACTAAATCATTTATATACTGAGTGAACTGAATTGGACTCTCATCGCTGCATACTTCAAACTCGGTACCATCCGTCTCCTGCACGCTATCTCTGTCTACACTGTCGTCCGTATTAATCTCTGCTGTGGCTGTGATTTAGG